CCCCAAAACCCCAAAACCCCAAAACCCCAAAACCCCAGGCTGTTCGATAATATAATTATTGATAAATAGTGAAATAAAATAATTAATAAGCTTAAACACACATATTCGTATATCTTAATGGGAAACTGCGGGTGCAAAGGAGAAAGTCATGAGATTGATGACTACCTTAAGAGTAATATTGCTCAGGAATTAATAGCTATTATAGGACATCATAAGCCGTAGATCAAGGCTGAGAAGGATAACTACGAGTTGTCTAAGCAGGACAGAGAAGAAGGAGATCAGAACTTAGTGGTTAGAGATAGTGATTTGAAGAGATACCTCGATAAGAAGGGTAGAAATTCATAAGTTAATGGAAGAGAAGGAGACTAAGCTGCTGATGGGGAGGGTAAATAAATTTGTAGTAATTGATTGTTCAGAGATAAATGAGGATTTATTGAGAGAAATGTGTATGCTCAGCAATTTGTCCACATCTAACGGATCTGCAAAACAAGGTGGCCTCCCACCATTCAGACCCAAGCAAGAGAAGAGTGGGCTACAGTCTGGAACTCAGAAAATTTAAGAGAATTACGAGATATCTCTTGATACAGATGTTGGCACAGATGGCAGACCAAGATTCAAGGAAGAGATTAAGCTTCCACCACAATATGAGTCAATAGACTTGAATGATCCAAATGATGATGTGCTTTTCCAAGGTGAACTAGTCAAGTACAAAGCAGGTTTAAATCCAAGCTACTTGAACAGGTGGGTTTAAGTGACTGAGAAGAGTTTCAGATACTTTAAGGGCAGATGCAATGCTATAACTTGCTGCAACAAACCACTTACTGCTATTCCAGTTCTAGCCATTAAGAAAGTTGAAAGAGTTAACTTCAGCTTATTTTTCAATAAAAAAGAGCAGGATAGAGCTTCACAATTCAATGGAAATTAATTTGAAATCTTCTTGAAAGATGACTTCATTGATATTTACTTGAGACCCGAGTATGAGCAGAGAATAGCTAACGGGCATGGCCATAGTCACTCTCACATTCATGGGGTAAACGAAAGTAAAATACAAGGATCTCCTTAAAGAAATTCCAATTTTTATGCTTCAAGCCACAGCTTATTGAACGCTGATCCAAATAGAACATCCTCACCTAGTAGAGTTAAGCATGGCAGTCCAGGCAAGGTAAGAGGCTAAGGAGGTGAGTCACATCCATTTACTGCTCCAGAGATGAAATAAAGATTCTTAAACCTAGAGGAAGGTCAAAGGTATTCAAACTTGCAAGACAAAATTATGCAGTCAGTCAACACCTAAGGATCCTGGTCAAACAGAGAGGAAGAATGGTTCTTCACTAACAAAAGACTTTTATTCTCTACTAAGTCATCGGAGATTACTGATTAATGGGTAGAAAAGCTTAGTGCACTCGTCACCTCAGATTGAAATATATAACGAGCAAATGGCACTTCTTATTAATTCTGATAAAGATTTTTCAAGCAACTAGGAAAGGAAGATGATGACAATAATTTTATATTTCATCGATTATTTAATCTCTTAATTTTCAAAATTAAATCAATCTGGTATCCTGGGGTTTTGGGGTTTTGGGGTCGGCGGGC